TTTCATTATCTAGGTCACTTGAAATTTTGGAAGAAAAAGGGTGTAGGTATCGAGTTTGCTAAGCATTTCCGCTCTCATCTCGGTCCAATTGAAGGTCTAGCGGTGAGTATTGGCAGTGATTTTCTAATGGGGACTTTAATTTGTTTAACAGTTCGGGATACTGTCACTTCAAATTATAGTTAGACTTCTTATGGGGTTTTCTACAATTTTTGTTTTTAGTTCTGTTATCAACCATGACTCGTTTCAGCAATGCAGGTTAGCATTGATGGTTTGCTTTGCTGTACAATCTCAAATGATCATGCTGTTAAAATATATGATGTTGTCAACTACGACATGATGGCCATGATCCGTTTGCCGTATATTCCTGGTGCTGTTGAGTGGGTTTACAAACAAGGGGATGTCAAAGCTAAACTTGCTGTTAGTGACCGAAACTCATCGTTTGTGCACATTTATGATCCCCGTTCTGGTTCCAACGAACCCCTTGCTTCAAGAGAGGTTTATTTCAATCTTTTTTATAATTTGTTGATATTTCTTGACACCTCATTTCCCAGAGCTAAACAGTTATTTTCATCTTTGTTTTCCTCGTAAAATATGTCCAGATACATATGAGTCCAATTAAGGTCATGAAGTACAATCCTGTTTCTGACACAATGATCTCTGGTGACACAAAAGGAATCATTGAGTACTGGTGTCCAGCTACGCTGCAGTTTCCTGAGGATGAGTATGTCATTGTCGATTGTCCTCATTCCTTATTCCAAACCCTTTTTACTCTTTTCTGTTTGGTTAACAACTTATAGAACATAGCTTAAAAACTAGAATGTATCCCTCATAAATATTTTGGCTTTTTTAAATCAGTGGAGTATTTCCGTTTTGTGTGAGGTTAATATAGTTAGCTTTCATATTGATGAGAATGATGCAAACAGAAGCCTGTAGGCCAAACACTTTAGTTGCCTAATTTTTTCAGTGTGTTTTAATTTGACCATCCTCAGAATTTGAGTTAGGTAGATGGACAACATGGGCTGCTTCGATTTATGCTTCACAGGCTGACCATTTGCTTGTTGTTGTAGGGTAAACTTTAAACTGAAGAGTGATACAAATCTCTTTGAGATTGTAAAGTGCAAAACAACAATCTCTGCTATTGAGGTACTTATGTGGCATATAGTATCTTTGTTTTGGCTATTTTCCTTATGATGTTTATGCTTAGAATGCAGGTAATAGCAACTGATATGTCCGGTGAAAATCATAGTGCAAGATTTGGTTTCTAAATTTAGTGAATTTCTTTTCAGGTGAGTCCAGATGGTAGACAGTTTTCTGTTACATCTCCTGATCGTAGGATTCGCGTGTTCTGGTTTAGAAGTGGTAAACTGAGGCGGGTGTATGATGAGTCACTTGAGGTAAGTTACATACTCTATTTTCTTTTCCTTACATGTTTTCACGTTTCTCTTGACTAATCATCTATTCCACTGAAATTATTAGGTGGCCCAAGATCTGCAGAGGAGCGATGCTCCATTGTACAGGCTTGAAGCAATTGACTTTGGTAGAAGAATGGCGGTTGAGAAGGAATTTGAGAAAACCGAGAGTGCTCCGCAGCCCAATGCAGTTTTCGATGAAAGCTCTAATTTCCTTATATATGCCACTCTTCTTGGAATAAAAGTAAGAATTCCACTCTTGTATTTGATTTTACCAGAAACTTGCATATCAATCTAGAAATGGTAAGTATCCTGTCTCACATGAACGTGATACAATAAACGAGCTTAAAAAGTAAAACATTTTCCTACTGGCTAGTCTTTACTTAAGTAACCAAGATTCAAGGTGGTTACTGTTTTGCAACCATTATATAAAAACGGACTGGTGTCTATAGTTTGATCATATCAGAACTCTTCCATGCACAATAAATGGAATCACAATAAGCAACTGACTAATTTCCATGTCTACCCTTTTGTTGCTTAGATAATAAATTTACACACCAACACAGTTGCAAGGATCCTTGGAAAGGTGGAGAGTAATGAAAGGTATCTGAGAGTTGCATTATATCAAGGTGATCAAGGAGGCAAGAAAGTTAGAAAAATTCCAGCTGCTGCTGCAAATGTAAATGAAAGCAAGGAGCCTTTAAGTGATCCAACTATCTTATGCTGCGCCTTCAAGAAACACAGAATCTATATGTTCAGGTTTTTGACTCATCCTGCTAAAATGACTCATTTTTATGTTGTGAGACAGAAATTTGTTATTGCATCTTTATATTTTACTTTGTCTAAAGACATCCTCTTATATTTTCTATAAATATCCCTAGAGATTTTTCTCCCATCTCTGAAATGTTTTCTTCTTACCTCGATATTGCTGAATTACTTATGGACTTTACTATCAACAATTGGTTTTTGCAGTCGGAGAGAGCCTGAGGAACCTGAAGATGCAAGCCAAGGGAGGGATGTGTTCAACGAGAAGCCTGCTGCTGATGAACTTATGGCTGCCTCGGATATTGGAAACTCTGCCACGACATCTCTTCCAGAGACTGTGGTATGTTCTTCATAACCCGCTATATTTGCAACTATTTTACTAATCATTACGTAGTCTGTGATCTGGATATTTACTACAATAGCTCGCTTATCTCCCTTTTTACAACTTTATTCAGATCATGCATACTACGTTGGGTGATATGCACATAAAGCTTTACCCAGAAGAATGTCCCAAAACTGTGGAGAACTTCACAACACATTGTCGAAATGGCTATTACGATAATCACCTTTTCCATCGCGTAATCAGAGGATTCATGATACAGACTGGAGATCCTCTTGGGGATGGTACTGGAGGACAGTCAATCTGGGGCAGGGAATTCGAGGACGAGTTTCACAAAAGGTAAATAATTTCTTACTGCTTGCCTGCTTTGTGTTTGGCCATCATTTAATATCGAATTGGATGTAAAATCAGCTTGTGAAATGTTGTTCTTCTTCTTGGCCTGCAGTCTACGGCATGACAGGCCGTTCACAGTGTCCATGGCAAATGCTGGTCAAAACACAAATGGGTCGCAGTTCTTCATCACAACGGTGGCTACACCATGGCTAGACAACAAGCATACTGTTTTTGGAAGAGTTGTGAAGGGAATGGACGTCGTACAGGTATG